GCATTAATATAATTAATAAATTAAAAAATAAATTTCTGGTAAATGACTTCTAAGTCATCTATCTACCTCGTTATTTGGTCGTGGTACCACTAGGTTATACGACTACAATTTGATGTGTATTCACAAAAGGTATTGGGATTAATATCTTGACATAGAATCCATAAAATTGAGAAGTTCATGTATTTATATACATGCTCGTACTTCGTGGACAAAGCAAACCCGTCAATCTCGAATCTTAATCTCGTGTTAAAAGTCAGAGAATGCACTGGCTTTTGCATTATAATAACTGATAGATGGCTACTTCTAATATCATTCGCCGTCTTGGGCAAAACTCTAACTCTAAATATTCAGATTTCGAATATAATACCCCATGCTAATAAACGGTAAATCTTTTACGTCCGTGTGTGTGATAGTAGCAATTCTTAGTTACCTACGTTTATCTTACTGAGTTTTATCCTTTAATGTATTGGCAGGTTGAATTTGAGTCACGTTTAAGTAAACAAGTAGCAAAAACGTTATCAAAGGACAAACAGACAGCTTGGCATTCAAGTAAATGTAATATATATTATACATAACTAAATTTATTGAATTACATTATCATCAGTTACTAATATAAACTCTTGACTTTGTCCGTATTGAATGAAAATAAACAAATATGTTGAAAAATTAATACAGCACCATCTAGTTCCATGGTAAGCTACGAAGCTTGTGTTATGGATACAGTTGATACACTACACATATATAATTTTAAATACATACATATTATAAATATAAACCCCCATGTCTGGAGTACAAACATTCGTGCTCATCAAACAAATGCCCCCAGCGGGACTCGAACCCGCGACCGCTGGCACAGCAAGTACTACAAACTGAGCCAAACGTGTCGTCAAATAAATAAAAGAAGTTATGAATGGGAATATCCATGCTCTATTCTGCGAATTATACACTTGGCCAGCGTGGTGGACTACGGCCTGATCCCCTTCGTATTCAAGAGAGGCCCAGCAGCGGGACGTTAAAAAAGGGCAGAATACAAACATACAGAATGTCCACAGTCTCTGTCTCTTTTCATCTATTCTAGAATAAGAAAAAGGTAATGACTAGCTACCTATAAGATAGTTTCGTTTTGCATCACCGCGGCAAACACAGAGAGCCCTTTACATCTACTAATCTAAATAAATAGGCAAAGACAAAAATAGTTCAGTACATTTTTTTCTCCTCTGTCAATCGATTTTCTCTATTTTTTATTAGGTATTGACGAGCTTTAGTACCAGTACCAGTTTACCGAGAATCTGTACATTAAATATTTACAGAAAATCTTATTGCAATAGACATTTTTATCGATACAGAGGCCGAATCTATAGTTTTTAGAATTTTTGTCTCTCTGTCTGTAACCACATCACGAGAAAATCACTGGACAAATTATGATGTTTGGTATGGTGATAGCTGGTTTTAACATATAGGATACTTTTTACTGCGGGAAAATATCTCATCTCTGAGAAATCTATATTAAACATTAAAACCTAACTAGAGACAAACCCGAGCGGAGCGAGGGTGAGTCGCTAGTATGTAATAAAAATGATTATAATTGAATTTCGACCACTGGACGAACACAACATTTTTATTTTTGTCATGGATCAAGTGCCTAAGCATATTATGTATTATTAAGCATTTTGACCCAGTCTGCTGAACAGTTACAGGTAACGACTAAAATAGTATAATAGAAAGCATTGTACAACTAAATTTATCCAATTTTTGTATCAAGCAATAATTAATTGACTTACATTAGAGTATTTGGAAGGAAAGTGGGGGAGAAGGGTGGATATTAGGGTGGATTCAGATTTGTCTTCATAACACCCGAATATTTTTATTGGTCGTTACATATTGTGTACAGAATTTAATATTGTGTCTAACTTGAATAGTTTTCCATGTCGCGTGTTCGATTCTGGTATAAGATGAATATCTATTTATTGACAATATAGCTAGTACATATATATATCAAGTTTAAAGATTATTACAAAGCATTTTTTTGTACCATCACGTATCTTGTATAAGACCACAGCAAGTTAGCTAAAAATTACTTAGTGAGATAAGGAACTACTGTATTTTCTCTTTGTATTTTAATTAAGAAAAATTACATAAAAAGGAAGTATATAACGATCTTTATCTTATATAATAAATAATACCTTCTTATTATACATTAGTTTCTTTACTTTAATAAAAAAATAACCAGGAAAAACTCACTGAGATTAGCTATAGCTATGCGCAGGAGATATTATAGTATACAGACACAAGAGCACTCAATATTTATTTCGTTCTCAAAGTCCCGCGAGGCGCAACTACAACACCAAAGATCAGGCAGTGCTCCCAAAGTCACGTGGGTTAATCACGGCCATCTTTCCAACTCAGGGCTGTTACAGAGAAATTCCAAAAGGTAAATTACGTACAAAGTACATTTGACCCGGGCCGGGACTAGAACCCAGGACCTCCAAATCTACAGTGATAGTCATTATATCAACCAGACAGGTGGAGACTAATTATACAAAAAGGATAAGTAATATTATGGTAAAAATAGTATGATTATAGCATTGTTTAAGTTCAAGGCGGACAATTGTTGGTTTTCAATAAAGTCAAATGTCAGGAACAATGTAAAAGTACTTTTAGGTAATACGATTTTTTTATAAGTAATTATTAATAAGTACAATGATATTTTTATTTTTTCATCCTAGGTTCGAATTCCGAGTTGGGTTAAATGAAGTACCGAGTTTTTGTCTAGAAATCTATAGTAACAGCATAGAGCTGGGAAATTGGTTATGTTTTACTCGGTGTTGTCTCGGTACCAAAATTATTCGCTATAATATCTACTGCGCAAATGGCTAGTGTCATTGCAAATAGCCGCTGTGACCGAAATCGTTCAGGAAGACGTTATTTTTACATTCATTATAGCTATCCATAAGTGAAGACCAACCAAAGTAACCAACGTAGTTATAATTATTTATGTAATTTTTATCGCCTATTATGCCAACTGTCGATTGCAATTAACTATAAGATATAATATGTTCGTATTTGTATTGCTCTACAAAAAATACTTAAGCAGAAAAACGATTACTTCACAGCAACAAAATTTTCCTTACTTTATAGCACAGTCATGAATAATTTATAATTTCATTCTAAACATAAGCAAAAACCTAGAATAATACAATTCTAAGAAAAATGTAATTTTACATATAAATTTAACGTTATTGTTTAACCGCAACATACCAAGTACTGAAGTAAAAAATAAAATTATGACTTAAAGCTGCTTAAAATCAACTGGGTAATGCAAATAAAATCTATATAAATAGTTATTTTGTATAACTCGAAGTTAAGATATAATAGTGATAAAGAAAAGAGCAAAAGAGTAAAATAAAAACCGGAAAAATTAGATATCTAAAACCGTATAAATCTAAGAACCTAAGAATAAAACCTATTTTCTCCAAAAAAAAAATCGAGTCTTAAATCGTATCGTATCTGTAACAATATCGTATGTTGTAAAGATTAATTTGCCCTTAGTAAGGGTTGAATGGCCTATCAAAAATCAAGCTAAGGCCACCTGAAATCACATTATGAATTTCGATTAAAATTGATAATACGTTCTTAGATTCATGGGAATATTTGACTTTTTAAATAAAACGGACATGGAGGATGAGGATTAATAGGAAAGGATTATTTTATTCAAATGTTTGATTGATAAAATTTGAAGATAGGCGATTGTCTAACAAAGGCGTCTAGTCTAGACCGGGTAGCAGTGCGGGGTGAGACGAGGGTGAGACACTCCCGACTTTCATAATATGACAGTCGGCATTAGGGTTGACGGGTAAAACTGTAACCTGCCATGAGATGGCACTACAGTGATTCTACTTTGAAACCGTTATACTTGTATTCAGGCAGCGTTTCCCTTAAAAAATGGCGTACGTACACAACGTAAACGTACAACACGTAGGCACTACAGTATTTTAATTTCGGAATCCTGCGTTTCAATGCCGCGTCAGTTTGCCATAAAAATTGATTTGATAACATTTTCATTCAAACAGCATTTTTATTAAAAGAACACGATTGTCTACTGTATGGATTTTTATACTTTGACTAGCAACTTACCCTTGCTTCACCAGTGTTCGTCCCTAGGTACGTTTTAACGGTTAGTATGGAATAGGTAGACTATCTCCGGATATGAACATCGTTAATTTTGAAAAAAAAGGTAATAATCGGGATTAAAACTATCCTATCTTTTAAGTTGAAAAAATCACACATTTTAAAAAATACTTTAAGATCGAATTAGTAGTTTCGGAGTTCATCGCGGATCAACATCGTGACACGGGAATTTTATATAGGTATAGAATAAAGATAAAGATATTATATTTTTTAATGTGTGTTGGGTGACAATCAAACATCATTATAAGTTTCACGAACTACTCGTTAAAATAAATTTCATAGAAACTAATTCTGTAATTAGATAAAAAGTAGCATAATGTGAATCAACCCTTAAACTATGTATTTATTTATGCGGAAAAAGTACTTATTACAGAGAATATTAATCCCTCCACGACCGCGGACACACCGTTGTTACAGTTAACAATAGATTTCTTAGAATTTTAATTAATTTCTTAGAAATTTACCTGGAGGTGCTATATATGTAACAACTATATAATAACTTATGACACGTCTACAACCTTAGCACCATGATATCTATCAAGCAATTCGAAACGTCGGGCACCAAAAATCAAAACGTTGAACGGATCTGTATGTTTGGCGTAGACATATATTATAGTCGGGAACAGCATATAGGACAGGACATAAGCAGATAGTAAAAATGCCATTTTACACATCCATATTATTTATTGTAGGTAGACTTTCAAAATATTTTTCAACATCAAACATTTAACATGCAATAAGCGTAATATTTAGTAATTTTGATTGCTGGTTGACGCAAATTTTTAAGATTTGATTTTAAATGATATTTATTAGTGTACCGACTCTCCTGGTCTTAATTTGAAAATTTCAGGTTTATTTGGGTCCCCATTACCTCGTACTACATAAACTGTCTCTAAGCCATTTTTAACATCATCATTATTATTTTGAACATAATTAGCATAATATTGATTATTATAATTAAAATAATTGGCAGGTTCAATATAGTTATTACTAACATAATGCCTATTGCTCTGTTTTTCTGGAAATGAGAATCCTCTAGTTTTTCTATCATAGCTATTTGCAGGATCCTCTTTATGGTTTTCCGGAAATTTAAGAGCTTTCGCTTTTTTGTTATAACTTTCATATGAAGTCGTATCAAATGAATTTGTATTGTCATAGAGAGAATCGTAATTATTATTAACAATTTCGTCGCTGGGAAAGGCCCATTTTTGATTTTGATCTTCTAAATCGTCGTCATACTGTGATAACGGCTTATTTTGTATTCGTTTTTGAATTCTATTCATTTTATTATAAGGGTATGCTAACCCATAATTTTGATTATATGTAGAATAAGGATTTGTTTGTTGGAAACCATAATGTTGGTTGCCTGGGTTAGGATTGTAAAAGCCATAGTGTTGCTGTATTTGGTTCAGTTGTGGTTGAAGGAGACCGTTTTGTGAAAGCTGGTTGTAAAATTGTTCGACGTTTTGTTGTCCTTGTTGAGGGGCGCTGAAGAATCTGCAAATACATTGTAAAGGTTTTATTTTAAATAGAATACAAGAAGACTTTATTTGTGAGACATATTGCTACAGACTTATATTATAGTATTAACCGTCGTTCATCGTAAAAAAGCTTTTATGCCATACAAAATACTTTGACTTTTATATTATGATTAGCTATTTATCCTCGCTTCGCTTCAGGTTCGTGCCTAGACAAAAATAAATCTATGCCAAGGGAACCGTACATTTTTCCGGGATGATATATAGCCTATAACCTTCCTCAATAAACGGCCTATCTAATGTAACAATATATTTTTAAATCGGATTAGTAGTTCCTGAGATTAGCGCGTTCAATCAAACAAAGAAACAAACAAACAAACAAATTCTGCCTCTTTATAATATTAGTATAGATATGACGAACCAAGTCTTAACAAAGTATACTGAAGAAAAGTGTACCTTCAAAGAGAAGGGCTCTATATATCAATTTGGTACTGCTATTTAAAACATTTTTAAGACAACATAATTTATGAAAATAATTATGATGCCACGACGAATGATAAATCTATACATATAATAAAATTGTAACTAAGCTGAATCTATACATTAAATCTTTTTTGGAAAATCTTATTAAAATAAACATTGTTATCGATACTGTCTGTCTGTCTGTGTCCGCATCACGGGAAAATCACTAGACAGATTTGAATGAAATTCGGTATGATGATGGCTGGTTATCCTGATCAATATATAGGATACTTTTTACCGCGGGAAAATATCTCAGTTCTGAGAAAAAATACAAAAACTGCAATGTAAGAATATACTAATATGTAAATCCTAATAATTTGGGTTTTGGTCATTTGAACGCGGGTGGAGCCGCGTGCAGTGCTAGTACATAATATATTTGAAAATAATAATAATCTAAATTTTAAATTTGTGTTAAAATAAAAATAGCAAGTAAATAAATAATACAGAGAGAACTCGTTACCTAAAGAATCCTCCATTATGATTATTCAGGTAATGCACAAGCTGCTCCGGATCAGTTGGACACTGTGGGTACCCGTAACGACAGGATGCTGTATTTCCTCTCGATGACATCCCTAGGAACACAGCACGTCCAAAAACGAAGAGAGGATTGGTACTAATGCCGTTGTAAGCTGAGAGTAATCTGTAAAACATTGAACTACTTAGTTATTAATAGCTAGGGTTTCCAGCAGTTCTGCTTATACGTTTAATTTATGGTTAATTACTCAACTTTTTCTCAATATATCATGTTAATATTATAAAGAGGTTAAGTTTGTAAGTTTGTGAGTTTGTTTGTAGGAAGTAATCTCTGGAACTACTAAATCGATTCAGATGAAATTTGATAAGAAGATAGTTTGAGACCCTGGGAAGGACATAAAATTTTTATCCCGGAGGTATGATAACTAAAAGGAGTGAAAATGGGGATAAAATTTGGTTTGCGAAATATACGTAGCTATTAAATGCAAAAATAATTTTTCAAATCAGTTTAATAGTTCTAGAGATTGGCGCGTTCAAACAAAGAAGCAAATAGTTCAGCGTAATACTTGTACTATCAATAATGAAGAATATATTTTAAACATATGTATACCGAATATCGTATCAATAGGTAATATTAACATTTCCACATCGAACTTGCTGCAATATATGGTTACATACAAAACTGAGGTCATTTAATATGGTTGCAGAATAATTGGAAATAAACTTTTATGCGAGACCTCGTGCAGAATTCGATTAAAAGAGTATTTAACGTAGCAGAAATAAGGATTACTCTATATAAATATTAATTAGTAAAGACTAGCTAGTGGGAGCAAAAATTTAAAATATTAAAAAAATATTATATAAATATTCATTACAAAATTTGCTTTCACACAAGATTCGATTCTGCCAAGGAATCAGTTCTATTTCATAATATATGGATAAAATATCAACGTAAAGTAGCAGTGTTGGTACCTCACTATTACATTTAGATTCGTGAGTGAGGACATCAAAGGCATAACCATATCCTCCTCGTTTACATTCTTTCTTTTCTTTTTCCTACTCTTTATTTTTCCATGAGCAGCTCACATGTGGTTGTAAGACACTTGTCATTAGATAGCTAACCTACAGCCAAGTACCTACACAGCATAAACAAATCAACTCATGCAAATAATAAGTAAAGGTTGCAAACCTACAAAACTATCGATTTTTATTAACTTTAAGAGTATTTACTAAGGGAATTCTGTCTCTTGTTTATAGTTATTGCTATAAAAACATACGTGTTAGTAGCGTTTCGCACACTTTCTTGAACGACTGATGTACTCGTAGAATGTGGTGATTTTATCAACGATAGCGCGTCTTTTTCATAAGTTTATTAGCTAACACATGGACCAACACTACCACGGAAGTAGTACCATTTCACAATATATGGACTTAAATTAACATTACCGCACTAGTAGATAAGTTTTGGTCATTGAGTGAAGAGTGCCAGAGGCACTAATTATACTTATTCGATCTCTTTCTTTTTCCTACCATAAGCTATCATATGGTAATTAGTGGATAAGTGTACGGTTACAATCAACCAACTATATAGCCTGTAACAACTATATAATGACTACTGAATCCTCTAAAACCTTAGTCTCCCGGGACCATAATTGCTGCAAAGCTTTCGAATTGTTGCGGTCGGGAAACAGAAATCAAAATAGATCCACGAAAGAATCCAAAAAGACAGTTTTATTTATAATCAGCCAGTTAACCTACGTAGTACGAACATATCCACTCACGTAAGTAAAGGTTGCAATCCTGCCACCGTCTGCAATATGCCCGCAGTACCTAAAGCTCCACCGCCCGCAGCTTCGCATAGAAGTCGCGCGACGCACTGGTAGTCGTCGTATAAAGCTATCGACGTTAACGCTTCAGTTATTCTGGAAACGGCTTCTGAAGCTACAGATGGTCTGGGCTGAGGTCCTAAATAATTTAAATAGAAAGAAACATTAAATATCTAATAAAAGCTTACGTATTTTTATATATTGCTAGCTATCCACCCTTACTCCACTCGAGTTCGTCCCTAATTACTTTTTAACGCTTAGTATAGATTTCTCAGAGATGAGATATTTACCCGCAGTAGAAAGTATCCTATATATTGACCCGGATAATCAGCTATTATCATACCAAATTTCATCAAAATTCCTTATAGAGGTTTTTCCGTAATGCGGTCACAGACAGACAGACAGACAGACAGACAGACAAAAATTCAAAAACTATAGATTCGGCCTCTGTATCGATAGGTAATAATGTCTATTTTAATAAGATTTTCCAAAAAATATTTAATGTACGGATTCGGCTTAGTTGAAATTTTATTATATTCATAGATAGACTTATATACTTTTAAGTGACTTAAGTAATTTGAATTTAAGTTACAAGAAAAAACAAAATTTTCATTGTACTTACTATAATACTCTGCTCCAAAGTATGGATTTATGGTTCCGAGACTAGGACTTGGGTATGGTGGAACATAATGATGTTGCCTTGGCTTTCGCTTCTTTCGTCTTTTCTTCTTAATATTATTAGGATCTTGAAAATTAACTTCTAATTGGCTCGAGTGTAATTCTTCATTATAATTTTCTTCTATACTGTCATCTCTGAATTTGACTGGTTTCTCATTAAAGTAGTAATCATTGCTAAGATATTGGGGTTCTTTGAATGAAACAAAATCAGGTTGCAATGAATCTTCAAACTGCACCAATCCATTCTTGTTTCTTGCAGAGACAGTATTGTTTGTGTTGAAAATTTTGCTTAAAATGATAATTGTAAATTAATAAAACGATGCACAAGTTCAATTATTAGTTTTATTATATAGTTTTAAGCTTTCACACAATATTTTAATGTTTTAAACATTTGCACTCTATCAATCGCTATTAATTTCTTTCATACAGAATATATATTTTTTAGTGGCTTAGAGTTGCGATATCAGACGCAATGCATACAAAATTACAAAATTAAACTATATTTTTAAAAGATACAACTATAGATTATAAAAACCCGAACAACTTGTGTTGCCTATATAAAATCACTAATTCAACAATAATAATGGTATATCGTAATGACACTAAAATTATAAATGTAACAATTTATATGTGTGTTTGTTACTTCGCCGGTGAGTCGTCGACGGATTTGAATGAAATTCAATACACAGATAGACTATGTATGATATGAAGTAACATAATCGTATTATTAGTATGTTAATAAATTTTGCAAGAAGATGACGCTCCCGAATAACGAAGATGATGGAATATCAAAGAAAGTTATAAAATTTTAACTAAGGACGAATAGCCGCTAGTTGTTTCATATCTATGTTAATTTTTAATATAAATGTATCTATAATGAAAAAATATAAGCAACTAAAACGTACGGCCAAAAACTTAACAATGAATTATTTTATAAATATACACAATGGTACCAATGTGGTAACGTGCTTAGGAAACCAAGTGAAGCAGGTTCGGATACCAGATCTCGCATCCCTGATATTCTCATGTGCGAATCAATTTCGACATGATTACTACTTGTCTTACGGTGAAGGAAAACGTCGTCAGGAAGCCTGCATGTCTGAGAGATCTATCAAGCAAGTTTTCGAAGTATCTAGTGTAGGATCCCTAATAAAACTTCGAGATATTCCTACCTTATATTCTTATATTCAGTACTTTTATGACCGTCAGTGAGTTACATAATTTATAACCATAATTTTTTCATAAACAATTCGTGAAGAGTCACTACAAGGTAAAACCGACATCTCTGTGCCAAAGCGCGGGAAAAGAAATGAATATCCGCGCCCTTTTTTTTTAAACACATTCCTATCGGCCAAGGTCACACAAGTAAATGCCTTATACATAAATCATTACAAATTAATCAAATATATTATATTCAATTAAAACGTTCAATATATAAAAATGCAACCTTACACTAGCAAGTTTTCGAAAGACACTTGAAATCCGCCTACCCGCATTTGGCCACAGCTGGCCAATATGGTATACTATGGCCTAATCACTCTTCACATTAAAAGAGGCCCTTGCCCAGAAATGGGATGTTAAAAACGTATAAATATATGTCACCTTGACATTTTACAATATCATACTTAATAGTTTTTAATCTAATAAAATGAACGTGAAAGTGTGTTTGTTTGTTTGTGCGTTTGTCTTTCTTTCACGTCGAAACGAAGTGACGGATTGGCGTGATTTTTGGTGTGAAGATAGTTGGAGAGCTGGAAAGTGACATGGGCTACTTTTTATCACGGGAGATCATCTCATTCCCACGGGAAAATACGTTATATTAAATCCAAAAATTTATTTCTGATCAGAATTACTTGAAACTTGGTATTAATGCTCTTCAATACAATTAAAAAAATACGTGTTTTAGCATTTTTCTAAATTCATCCTATAATCCCTTATAGTAGTAAAATAGGGAAAATGAAAGTTTGTATGAAACCTAGGTACCTACGTTTTTAGACATTTTTTTGTAGTTTTAGCGCGAGCAAAGCTGTGGGTTCTGCTAATATGTATATAATGCGGTGATCAACTGAAGAATGTTAATATATATTAAGTTAAAAACTTACGATAGCAACTCCGCAGGATCGTAATTTGCTATAGATTTATTTGCAGGCGCTTCTCCAAAACCACAGGGCAATGTTAAAATAAAAATAAAACCGTATAGATACATAATTTCGTTGTTATTCTAGAAATTAATTTCTTCTTTCTCTGAAAATATAAAAGTTATTAAAATATATTTTTAAAATATATGATAAGAATATATTACTGTTGATTCACAAAGCATAACAAAATAATCTAGGAAAAAAATAATTAAAAAAAATTTAATTAAGTGTTTTAAGGCTTTAATTTACCGACTTAAAAAAAGAAGGAAGGAATACATTTTGTGTAGGTACCAGGTACCTACGTTATAAGATATCTTTGTCAATATATAGGTGCCTAATTGTTAACCTATTTTCATGATTACTTCGTTGTCATAAGTCGACGCAAGTAAATAAACATTAAGCTAAAACGTATTAATAACCGTCGCTTCGTTCGGGTTCGCCTCTAACGAAAAAGAAACTCCTCCGCCTCCAAAAACAAAAACATATTATAATACAAACATACATCCCACGGGAATCGTATATTTTTCCGGGTTCAAAAGGGGCCTATTTGTTATTCAAGACTATAATCTATCTTTGCGCTAAATTCCATCCAGATCCGTTTAGCCGTTCTGACGTGATTGAGTACAAACATCTAAACTTTTATATTTATAATATTTGTAATGGGTAAGCTGTAACGAAAAGTTCATATTTCTGTTTTTATTTTAATTTTGTTATTGAAACAATTAAACAAAGCCATTTAATATGTAACAACATACTGATTCATACTCATTATTGCACTAAAGCGTATGCTATGTTCATTATAATAATTTCGGTGTTTAAAGAACAAATCTGTTATTTGAACGGCCAATGTCAAAATAATTAGCACTTTTTGAAGAAGGTCTCAAAATGCTCTATAATTGTTAATGCCTACAACTCTACATACCTTTCTCACAGTAACGAAATATTCAACAACTGTAAGAATTTAGCTAAAGAATAGATACTCATTACTGTGATAAGTAAATAAACGTTAATAATCAAAAATAATAGCTAACGGTTTTTATTATAATAAAAAAAAGCTTATATTGTGCTATGTCTCTTTCAAAGGGAAGAGAAGTAATGTTTAAAAAATATAAAAATAATGTATGTCTACATGCTATTCCAGACTATAATATATCTCTGTGGCAAATTTCATCCAGATACGTTCAGCTGTTCTGGTGTGATTGAGTAACAAACATCCTATCATACTACCCTATCCATCTAAACTTTCACATTTATAATATTAAGTCAGATTATCATTTACATTTTCTTCTTAAAATTTATAAATCAAAGACTAATTAATACCTACATATTACTTTCCTAATGCTTTGAAGAAAATATCGATTTATATATTTTCTTTAAAACTGTATGGCAAAATCGAGAATAGTACTAAGAACAGCAAAATCATGCTACTATTTTTGGCTTTGACATTTCTTTTGGCGGACTCTGTCCACATAATTCTTTAGTTTGAAGAATTTAGGTATCTATGCGTTTAAAAATCTAATTATTAGTAGCTTTTAGCCGCAACTGTACGATCATATTACGATGGAAAAAATAGTTATCTACTTCCAACAAAATACTCTATTCACAATTAAAAGTCACATTTAAAAGTATTAATTAACAATTTTTTCCTGTTTTTATGACACAAGGATAATTTTTTCCCCAAAATAAGGAGGAATTCAACAATGAGACGCATTTCAAATTTATTCATCACTACATAGTATAAAACAAGTCGCTTCCCGCTGTGTGTCTGTCCCTATGTATGCTTAGATTTTTAAAAATACGCAACGGATTTTGATGCGGTTTTAATAGAGTTATTCAATAGAAAGGTTTATATGTATAATAAATGCAAATTCAAAGATTTGTATTTCATACTAACCATCAAAACGTACCTAGGGACGAACCCGAACGAAGCGACGATATAAAATAACAATGAACACTCAGAAATTAAACCATAGTGTACTAAAGTATTTATTAAAGAATTAAAAAGTCCGTATCACTCTAATATTTTATACATGACCATTATATTATATTCAAAACAGCTCAATCTCACGTTTTTCTTATATATATTATGAACAAATATTTACCTCATATGAGAATTGAACCTGCTACTTTGTTAAAAAGTAAAAACCAATGCAGTGATAAATATTAAAAATTTAATATTAGGTACTAAAACATGCTAACTTACTCGTCTGATGTCTCAAAACACAAAAACACAAGTGTTGCAAAAATTTCTCTCGATCACTATAGAAAGTGTTGTGAGATCATTCTATTGCCTCACATCAAATGCCCTAAAAGGTTTGTTTATCTCATTGGAATACGCAATCAGGATCTACCAAAACTACTATAGTATATCATAATCATAATCTTTACTAATACACATAGCTGAAGTTTTGCCTGTTTGTTCACATATGGTCAATCTAGTGGTCCGATTTGAAAAATTCTTTTTGCATTTTTTTATTATAATACTTTTAAGTATAGTGATACTGATAATATTTTCTTTCTGATTTCTTCGTCTCTCTTTACTGCCATTCCAAAGCGCTTGTATTATATAAGCAAATAAAGTTTATTCTAAGGCTTATATTACTTTAGATGCATTATAATACGTATATAAACAATAAGTAATTTTAAGTAAATCTCGTTGAAGTGCAATAAACACCTGTTATCTCTGTTATCTCATTGATTAGTCTCGTTTCGCAAGGCGTACGATACCGCCTCAACCTTGTAGTACTAAAAGTAGTTATGGTTGTGTATCTTCAACTTAGTCGATATATTTTTTACAAGCAACTCGGCCTCCCTCCGCTCGGGTTTATCCCTAGGAATGTTTTAAGGTTCAGTACACATTTCTCAGAGATGAGATATTTTACCGCAGTAAAAAGTATCCTATATGTTGACCATATAGATATCAGCATACCAAATTTCATCAAAATCTGTCCAGTGGTTTTCCCGTGATGCGTTCCCAGACAGGCAGATAGACAAAAATTCTAAAACTACAGATTCGTCCTCTGTATCGATAATAGTGACTAAGTATTTCAATAAGATTTCTAAAAAAATATTTAGTGAAATGCTGAACGTTGTTTTCACACAAAGAATTTATTAAAAGAGCGGTCTAATATTTAAATGAGCGCTCATTCGGTAAGGACATTTTTTGTCACTGATTGTGTATCTAGTACTGTTTTGACCGATGTTGAGAACTTATATTAAGTAAAATTCTAATGTATCATTGAAGTACCTATAACGAATCATAGGGTAAAAACTTATATTGTGTGGGCCATATATGTTGTTTAATGCAGTTAAAAATAATCTAGTTTTGCCAGAACCTGGAGTATCCGTGCATATTTCTATCTAATCTAACCATTATATAGTTTCCAGTTTACAAAATAAAAATAATTGGTCATATATTTATATGGATAGCATAATCTATGTTTATATCAATTTTATTGAAATCATTTTACCGGTTTGCATTCGAAAAAGTAAGAAACAAATACACATTTTATTATTTAGACAAGAATAATAATAATAAACGTGTATTTAAACAAAGTAGGCCATAGCAGTATTATAGTTTTATCAAAACTCAAATAATCTTGATATACTTGAGACGCCCATAAAATTTGAAAGAGTTTTAATCCACGACTCTTCAGATATTTAAATATCTCTCTAGATATATTTTTGTCATAATATCATTTGTACAAATAATTCACCGTGATTCACCGCGTCTTGTATTTCATACAATAGCTAAGCCATATTGGGCCTAAAGTTGAGTTAAGTCGATAGGTAAAGCAATTCTGTACTTGTTACATGACTGCGCGACGCAAAGGAGGGTAATGTGTTTATCAGTTTATGTATATATGTATGTATGTATGTATATATATTGTTCCTATGTGGCGTTCTAGAGATTAAATGCATATTATGCAGTCGGAGACATACATATTATGTACATTGTACTATGTACATCTCGCGACAAGGCTGAAACGTGTGTCTCCGACTACATAATACTCGTACTACAGATCATATAATATAATACTTTATAATATTCCTCCGTCAACTTGTTTTCATCTTTTTAGTTAGCTTTTATATATTTTTGTGTTTATTTTTACGCGATATTTTCACCAAGCTGAATCGATTTTTGTTCATGTCATAATTCTTTCCCTAAGAGTGGATTAATTATTTTTCAGTAAGAAAAATAATATTAATAAAAGAATATTATAATTAATTCTATGTCTAGATGAGCCTCGGCAACCTCGATAACATTTTAAACTGCATTCAGACCTTACATATGAAGAATAAGCAATTGTTCATTTTTTTAATTTAAAACAATAACATGTACCAAAAACGCAAATGTTAAGACGTACCCAGCCATTATTAAGTAATTCGATAAAATAAATATCGATTCAAAAACTAGTACTAAATAAATATTTTATTACAGCAAGCAAGAAAATCAATATATGTTTATTTTTATTTTAGGGTAATGTCACTAATGATATACATAAATACGTAAAATAATAAAAGAAATGATCACGTTTATACATAAACTTAGATTTACTATCGCAGGTGACTGTCCTTGTCAGAAGTCTCATTATTATGCTACGTGTAAACTGTTTAATCATGTGTTCATTGAAATAGTCGGAAAACTAAAAGCGAGGCTTTTATGTTATCTTCTTCAAGGAGAAAAGCGCTGACTAATGCAGACATATTCAAAAGAATGGAGTGCCTATTTTTTGTGTAGATAATTTTATAGTAACGAGTAGGAGAAGAATATCGAATTTTTTTCTTATTTTTTGAAGAAAGTCAATGATCTCTATGACAACACTAGGAAACCAGGAATTCATATATATATATATATATATATACATATATATATATATATATATAGGAATAGCATATTCAGCAAAATTATTTTACTACATTTAACTTCAACAATTTTTTGGACTCCTATTTTTCGTACAGAAATTCTTTAGTCTTGCATCATTCTTCACGCGAATCGAACTGTCACATTCAATAATTGAGAGACAATCCTTTTACATGACGGTTAGCTTTCATTTTAATATTTTAT